TGCGTACACGGACGTCTTGACGCCTGTGCGCATGTTAGTGGCACAAAAAGTTAACTCCTGATATGAATACAGTGTCGAGAATTTCCAGCTTCAGTACGTGCTTTGCATGGGGAAATTATGGAAAGTTTTGCAATGCTGAAAAGCCCTAAAACGTGCTTTAAATTATCTGAAGTGAGATATTGATAATTTCCAAATTTTGTCGCACACGCACGACGTGTGCGTGGACAGTAATGGCACACGAAATTGAACCTTGTCAAGTGTAATGTAAAAATGCCTCTTGGTTGGTAATGCCACACAAATTTTCCCTTCATATGTACTATGTCAGTCTGATAGCGTCGAAATACAGTGATTTTTGACAATTTTGAAGAAAGAGAGATGAGAGGGTTCCAAAAATTCATTCTTTTTGACCATGATGACATCAAAAAAAAATAAAGAGACACTTCCGAAAGAGAATTGTCTCAGCTATAACAAACATACTCACAGGTGGGAGACGATCAATCAAGAATAAGCGAGATACGTTCAAACGAGTATAAAAATAATGACGTCGTAAATAAAAATTCAGTTTTTTTCTTAATTCAAATGGCAATATGATGACGCCACAATGTCTGATCAGTCATAGTGCTGTCTCTTATACACATCTAGATGTGTATAAGAGACAGCCCTCAATGTTAACATCTAAATTTGGTATAGTGTTATTAAGTCTTGTTTCATTCAATGCTATTATGTCAATAGAATTATTCTGAATTAGATATTTAAAACTGTCAAATTTTCCTGTAAGTGTTACTATGTTAATGCCTAAGATACTTAGACCTTTCTTTTCAAATACAGCACAATTAACGTTCAGTTAGAATATCAGAGTGTTCATATTTGGTAAGGTTTGAAGTAAACAACATTTGTAAGTTTAGGGATTCACTTTCATTTAATACTGATAATTCGGCTTCATCTTCTTTGCCTTCATTTCAGTGTCGATTTCCACAGAATTTTGATTTATGTCCTACAGTGTTACATTTCCAGCAAATTACAGGTTTTCCATGGCGGCAAACACGGCGAGTATGGCCACTTTCACCGCAGTATTGACAGTGAGTTGATGATGAGGATGTTTCCTGTTGAAAGTTGCTTTGTGGCTTTAATATTTGAACAGTTGAGTTGATACATTTAATCAGTGCGAAAGTTCCATATTTGTTAAGGTGAAGGCAATGATAGACAAACTTAGATGCATCCAAACCATATTTACATAGGAAGGCTTTAGAGTTGTCAATGAAATTACTGTATCTGGATTTGAGCATGTCATTAGCTTCCCACACACGCATGTTAATAGAGCGGTCATCAAGTCGGGGGCAAATTCCAGACAAATACACCTTTCCTGATATTCTTGGTTGTAGACTTGATACAAGTTCTTTATAATCCTCTTGTAGCTCATCCTTGTTATAGTTTATATCACTGCAATCGTTTGTTCCCACATGAACAATCACGTTTTTTACATGGCTAACATCCAATTCTTTTATAGCTGATGATACTTGTTTGACTGTGTATCCACGTAGAGTTTTAACAGATGTGTTCCACATCTAAATATGACTACTAAATATCCTATTCTGATAATTATAATGTGATAACTAGATTTGAACTCGTCACTGAGGACGAGTTTGGTGATCCGCCGCACTTTGACCCTCAGGAAGCGCAAGCGGTGCGAATTGAATTCTTTTAAAATTCTCAAAATGGCCTAAAATCTGCTCTAGTTAGTTTTCAAAAAAGTGTAATTTTAAACATTTGAAAAGATTTACGCTTGCGTACACGGACGTCTTGACGCCTGTGCGCATGTTAGTGGCACAAAAAGTTAACTCCTGATATGAATACAGTGTCGAGAATTTCCAGCTTCAGTACGTGCTTTGCATGGGGAAATTATGGAAAGTTTTGCAATGCTGAAAAGCCCTAAAACGTGCTTTAAATTATCTGAAGTGAGATATTGATAATTTCCAAATTTTGTCGCACACGCACGACGTGTGCGTGGACAGTAATGGCACACGAAATTGAACCTTGTCAAGTGTAATGTAAAAATGCCTCTTGGTTGGTAATGCCACACAAATTTTCCCTTCATATGTACTATGTCAGTCTGATAGCGTCGAAATACAGTGATTTTTGACAATTTTGAAGAAAGAGAGATGAGAGGGTTCCAAAAATTCATTCTTTTTGACCATGATGACATCAAAAAAAAATAAAGAGACACTTCCGAAAGAGAATTGTCTCAGCTATAACAAACATACTCACAGGTGGGAGACGATCAATCAAGAATAAGCGAGATACGTTCAAACGAGTATAAAAATAATGACGTCGTAAATAAAAATTCAGTTTTTTTCTTAATTCAAATGGCAATATGATGACGCCACAATGTCTGATCAGTCATAGTGATCTATAAAATCATATCTACAACTCATGCGCTTTCAGAATATGTAATAAAAATTGGGGGTCACCTTTCATCCTAGGGAGCTATAACTGATAAAAAATATTCATGATTTTAAACATATATATTTTGACGCACGTGTACGTGCACGCTTGAAAGTGCGAACGAAAAATTAATAATATGATTCAGAAATGACGAATGGTTAAGATGTTATGGGGTCATCAACGTTTTGAGGAAAGAAAGATGAGAGGGGTCAGAAAAAACATTTATTTTGACCACGATGACGTCATCAAAATGTAAAAAGAGGTCTCATATGAAAGAGAATTGTCTCAGCTATAACATACCAAAAGTTAAGAGACAATTGATAAAGGATAAGCGAGATACGCTTAAATGCGTATTTTCAAAAATGATGTCATAGCTAAAATTCAGTTTTATTGAATTCAGATGGCAATATGATGACGTCACAATCTGTATATCAGCACAAACGCGCGCAAAGATCACTATGTTTGATGCGTGCGTACGGCATTGCTATTGGCCATAAGATGACTGAAAAGAATGGAAAATTGTGAAAACAATGTCAGGAACCCAAAATATGTGAAAAAACTTAATGTCTAGCTTCCGTACATGCTGCATGCGCAAAAATGCGTGCGCGTAGTGGAAAATTTCAAAAAAATTTGAAATGCTCAAAATGGCCTGAAACGTGCTCTAATTTAGTCAAAAAGTAATTTTGAGCATTTTGAAATTTTGCATGCGTTATGGCGTGCACATGAAATATTTCGGTGCGTGACATTCAACCTTGACCTGAAGTTTATGCCCACTGCATATGATTTAGAAATGACAATTGGTTATGATGATATGATCAATAATGTGAAACACGTAAAATTGCGCGTAGATGACGTCATGCATGACTGTGCACATTGAACAGGTCACATTGACTATTCCATGCCAAGCCAAATGTTCGTTGAAGCATGCATGTACGTAGCTCAAGGGAATTTTGAGATATCGTGCGCACAAGAAGTGGGGAGAAAGAAAAATTTGAATACTGTACATAGTCTAGGCCTACAATGATATGTCAGTCTTGTATAGTGCTTCATGCATAAAGCCTCTAAGTGCTTAACATTACTACCCCGGTCATTGAATCAAACACGTATGGAACACATACTCAGCTCCCTGGGGAGAATTCCATAATATTGAAGCTACTAATCAGCGCAGTTATGTGCTTACACTATTAATTTGCATTTAGTTGTTGCGTACAAAGGAACATACACACCCACAGGGTTCTGGTTTAGTATAGAACACACTTTGATACTATATTGACAATTGTTATATAACTTCATTAGGGATACATCTTCAACATTGTGTCAAGGAATGTTTGCTACGATATTGCTGGTGTCATAGTTTTCGGGGGTCGAGTTGTCGTTAACAACAATTTTCAGCTTTTTGGATGTCTGTATCTTAGCCAAAAAAAGTTTATAACTGCATATATGGGGAGTGCTAATGGTGAGGCATGATTCCTCAAATTTTGGAGATTAAAAAAGTATTACTTTCGTGTTATGGCCTCCCGAAAATTGGTTCAGACAGCTTTTTCCCCCATTTTCGGACCTTTGCTACATTTTTTCTGATTACAGATTTGGATTCAGCATTAATTAAAAGTCATCCTATGACACAAACTCTCATGAATATAGGGGTTGTACAGCTGTAGATATTAGCATATGAAAATCAATATTAATTTCTCGGCGCATTATTTTATGCCAAACCACTTAAATTCAGACTGCCGCTACGGAAAAAAAAACAAATAAGGATTGAAGTCTCAAATTTAAAGGTTTTTCATTTCTCATGAATAAAAAATCTATGACCCATGGTGTCATGAATTTGTTGGCATGGAATGCAATGCTCCGATGTAATTACTTGACAAACAACCCAATCTTTTTTTCCACATGTTAGCAATATTTAATGCGATCTTCTGTTGAATATTCTTTACAGACAGTGCAGCATCAAAACAAGCAAATGAAGGTATAAATTTTATTACTATTGTTGTTTACAATTTACAAATTGCTGACTGTTTTAGTATTTTATCATTAGTATTATTTTTGTAATTATGAATACAAAACCTACTTTTTATGTAATGTTAAAAGCGCTCTGAAATATTCCAGTATACGGTGCTATAGAAAGCTTGCCGTTATAAACAATATTTTTATTGAATTACATTTTCAATTTTTTGGCAAAAAAAAAATTAATGAAAGATCTTCATTAAAAATTACTTATATTTTTTTCTTTTTCAGATGATGTTATAAAACAATATCTACTATGGTCTCAACAGCAATTGTGCCGTAATGCCACCCGGTTCACACCAGCAACTTTGAATACTAGATACCAAGTAGACATTGCCCACATGTTTACTGATCTGGACCTACTCAAAGAAAATGGAAAGAAGCAAGATACCAAACCAACAACTTTGGAGGAGGTTTTGAATATTATCAAACTCACGCCAGCCTGTAAAGTTCTAATAGAAGGTGAGGGCGGTATTGGTAAATCAACCCTTCTCAGGTACATAGCTTACAACTGGGCCACAGATGAATCAGATGAAACCTTCAAAGGTAAAATAGTCTTTCTTGTCAATATATCCTCTATTGACAAATGCGAAAGTGTTTTGGATGGTATTTTAAAACAAATAGACGTAGAAGATTTTTGTCTTAAAACAAATCTTAGTCAAGATCCTTTAATAAAACGATATATTTGGAATCATGATAATGACATAGTATTGTTGTTGGATGGATTAGATGAACTGAAAGATGGTAGTAAGAGTCCAATACTCTTTTTCAAAAAGCAAAATATGCCTAAATGCAAAGTAATACTTACATCAAGATCTGACAAAAAAATAGATGAGTTTGTTAACGAGAGCAGCATACACGTGAAAGTGAATGGATTCAATGCTGGTAATATAACAAATTACATTGGAAAACACTTTAAGTATTTTGGAGAACCTGCATTAGGAGACGCGCTCTTGAAAGAGTTAAATATTTCAGGAGATACAAATGAACACAAGGATGACATATCAATGTGTGGAACTTCAGTGGTCCATAGAGTTCTTATGTCAAATTACTTTTCCTGGATTTCAGGATCATGTACAGATAAACACAAGGATGTCATATCAATGTGTAAAAATCCAATGTTGCTTCTATCAGTATGCATTATGTGGGAAGAAAGGCAACACCTTCCAGCTGATAAAGCTGATCTATTTAAAGAGATTTTTAGAACCATCTTGAATCAGTTTATTGACAAACAACATGTTAAAGAGAAGAAAATTTCAATATTTAAAAATATTCCACAGAAGTATGTTGAATCAATGCTTCTGTTAGGAAAGTGTATGTATAATGGCTTAAAAATAAACAAACTTTCTATAAACAAAGAAAATTTTAAAGAAAAAGAAGAAATAGTTGCCTTAGCAATAAAACTGGGATTTGTGTACAAAGATTCACCATCCCTAAAATCTGATTTTGAAGAGATTTTTACAGCTCCTCACAAGTTAATTGTAGAGTCATTGGTAGGGTTTTACTTATGCAAATTATGTCAGGCCGCAGGATTGGAGAGTGAATGTTCAGAGGACATGAAAAGGTTACTGCAGCCATTGGATGATAATGAGTGGAAGATTATAAGAGAAAATGAACACTTACACACTGCAAAAGAGTTTGCAATTGGATTTCTAGGAACTGGTGCTGGCATGTTTTTAAATTATTGGATAACAAATAGTCTGTCAACATATCGCTCTTTAATGGCATATTTTGAATTTGTAAAAATAGAGCACAGGCTTGTTGTAGAAAAGACACTAATTGATCATATGACTAAAAAAAAATTAGAAATTATGCCACACATAAATGAAATATGTAAATCACTAAGAAAATTTATCCATCACATCATTCCTGATGTAGACATTCAAAACGAGCATTTCATCCACATTATGCAACGATTTTATAATATTAGATTAGGATCTTGTGGTGGAATTGATGTGGAAACTCGCATTAAATCTTTTTGTAAAGAAATGTCATCTGAAGAAAAAGGCACAACACTGGCCCACATATTAATTGCTGTGCCACACCACAAAGAGGTTTTCGAAGAAATAAATGAAATATGTGTTAATGATGATTTTAAATACCTAACAACAGAATGTCAGAAACTGCACTTGAAGTATGATATAAGAGTCTGTACGTTGTCTGGCTCAAGTACTGATTTATATGTAGTTCATCTGCTTACTAATGCACCAAAACTTCATACTTTGAAGTGCTTGCCAAATAGTATTACAGGCGCTATTCTGAATGAGGTGACGCAAGAGTGTTCTAGTAGCGGAGTCAGGTTAGGATTACAGGAACTTGTTATCAGTGGTAATGATCTCAGCAGCATTGATGGTTCATTATCTTTGTTGGTTATTGCCCCAGAAATGAATATACTTCACATGAATAATTGCAGTCTTTCTGGTGGTATTATGAATGATATGATCAGAGAGTGTTGCAGTCTAGGAGTTAATTTAGAATTAGATGAGCTTGATATCAGTGATAATAATCTCAACAGCATTGATGGTTCATTATTATCTTTGTTAGTTATTGCGCCAGAAATGATTATACTTCACATGAATAATTGCAGTCTTTCTGGTGGTATTATGAATGATGTGGTCAGAGATTGTTGTAGAAGAGGAGCAACTTCAAAATTAGAGAAGCTTTATATTAATGATAATAATCTCAACAACATTGATGGTTCATTATTATCATCTTTGTTGGCTATTGCTCCAGAAATGGGTAAACTTGAGATGAATAATTGCAGTCTGTCAGGTGCTATTATGAATGATATGATCAGTGAGAATTGTGACAGAGGAATCAAGTTAAAATTAGAGAAGCTTGATATCAGTGGTAATAATCTCTACAGCATTGATGGTTCATTATTATCATCTTTATTGGTTATTGCTCCAAAAATGAGTAAAATTAACATGAATAATTGCAGTTTATCAGGTGGTATTATGAATGATATGATCAGAGAGTGTTATAGAAGAGGAGTAACTTCAAAATTAAAGAAGCTTGATATCAGTGATAATAATCTCAACAGCATTGATGGTCCATTATTATCATCTTTGTTGGTTATTGCTCCAGAAATGAGTAAAATTAACATGCATAATTGCAGTTTATCAGGTGGTATTATGAATGATATGATCAGAGAGTGTTATAGAAGAGGAGTAACTTCAAAATTAAAGAAGCTTGATATCAGTGGTAATAATCTCAACAGCATTGATGGTCCATTATTATCATCTTTGTTGGTTATTGCTCCAGAAATGAGTAAAATTAACATGCATAATTGCAGTTTATCAGGTGTTATTATGAATGATATGATCAGAGAGTGTTGTGGAAGAGGAGTAACTTCAAATGTAGAGGAGCTTGATATTAATGGTAATAATCTCGACAGCATTGATGGTTCATTATTATCATCTTTGTTGGTTATTGCTCCAGAAATTAGTAAACTTAACATGAGTAATTGCAATCTGTCAGGTGCTATTATGAATGATATGATCAAAAATTGTTGTAGTCTAGGAGTTAACTTAGAATTAGAGGAGCTTGATATTAATGGTAATGATCTCAGTAACATTGATGGTCCATTATTATCATCTTTGTTGGTTATTGCTCCAGAAATGAGTAAAATTAACATGCATAATTGCAGTTTATCAGGTGTTATTATGAATGATATGATCAGAGAGTGTTGTGGAAGAGGAGTAACTTCAAATGTAGAGGAGCTTGATATTAATGGTAATAATCTCGACAGCATTGATGGTTCATTATTATCATCTTTGTTGGTTATTGCTCCAGAAATTAGTAAACTTAACATGAGTAATTGCAATCTGTCAGGTGCTATTATGAATGATATGATCAGAAATTGTTGTAGTCTAGGAGTTAACTTAGAATTACAGAAGCTTGATATTAATGGTAATGATCTCAGTAACATTGATGGTTCATTATTGTCATCTTTAATGGTTATTGCTCCGAAAATGAGTAATTTTAACATAAGTAATTGCAATCTATCAGGTCATATTATAAATGATATGATCAGAGAGTGTTGCAGTCTAGGAGTTAATTTAGAATTAGATGAGCTTAATATCAGTGATAATAATCTCAACAGCATTGATGGTTCATTTGCAAACCTTCATTTTATAAGGAGCGCCATTGCGCTGGCGCTCCTCAACACAATCTGAGAGCAAAAAATAGCTCTCCTTGATTTACCAGGGAACTAAAACAAAATGACAAACTTGTATTTTAAACATTGTTTATAATCAAAATCTATCGAATTTTGCAATTAACTAAAGCTAAATCATATTTACATTTGATAAAACAACATTTATTTACGTGGATTTCACGCTTATTAATAGTAGTAAAAACATACCGTAAAACCTCAAATAGAAGCTCAATGGGCCTAACCTTGAGAAGAAGCCCGTCTTGAATTGAAGCCCCCTCTTCAGTTTACAAAAGTAGTCTCAAATAGAAGCCCATGGGCTTCTTTTCAAGATAGCATGGGCTTTTTTTTAAATACATACACTGTACATAAATTTCAAAGGGAAAAAAAAAATGTTTAAACATGCTTGGTTTATGCAGTAGTTTAGGTGATTTAATTTAAACATTTTATATGTCTTTTTGACTACAATAATCAGATTAGATTTTGTGATTTGATAATCTTAATAATTTTGTAAATAATAGTTTTTTTTTTAATTATTGGTAATTAATGTAATTGAATTGAAAATTTTGTACATATATAATATAAAATATGATCCCTTTTTCTATTCCTAGTGGTTTATGATAATGCATACTTTTGGAGTCCGTACTGAGCCCAAAAAATCTGCAATGAAAATATAACATGTTTATTCTATTTTTATAGATTTTAAATTGTATTTTTTCTTTTTTTAAATTTAATTGTAATTGAATTGTGAATTTGTTATTGTTTTTTTTTTTTTTTATTAATATTTGAAGTTTTGTGCCATTTGTGTATTGTTTCTTATTGTAAATTCAATCGTTTGTACTGCCGACTATTTTTTAAAATGTTTTTATACCTGAATAAATAAATAAATAAATTTAATGCCAGTTTATACACTCAATGCTACAGGTGGTCCTATTTATTGTTTTTTTTAAGTAGTTGTTATGTTATGCCTAATACATTTATTTTACTATAATATAATGTTGAATACTGTTATGTTATTTTTACTATATACTTTGTAATAGTTTAGTCTGTATTAGCCATATTGTAGAGTGCATGTACAAAGTTCGCCCTAAAGTGCCCCTCATAAATTTTTGTTGGCCAAATTACCTGTTGGGTAATATTCCAAATAAGGTTAAGGGACTGTTAAATCTAGGTTGTGTGATGATGTCATCTACAACTTCATCCTTAAGCCCAAATTCATCTTAGTTATGTGGTGATGTCATAATAATCTCCCCCACATATCCTGTTCATAAATGTATAAAATGGGGTACAATCCTATCATTTAGTTAGTCCAAAAGTTCTAAAGTTAACATCAACTTTATTACACGTCTGCCGTAGTTTATTAAGTTTACCTATAGACCTTGCCGGTCTCGGACACCAGTCTTTGATCCAACTTACTTAGCCGTGTGCTCAGCTAATTTTGTAAGTTGTCGAATATCTTAGTATTTAATTGTGTTTTACCACCATCATTTTTGTTCTCTTTTATAATAATGTATCTATGTTTTTAATAATAAATGTACATATTGTATATAATACTAAGCTATTGTGTTTCCTATTCTTTGCATGTAACTTAGCAATTCCAAAAATTTACGGAATTCATTTTGAAAAGAAGCCCCCCTCTTTACTTTGCAAGAGTAGCCTCGAAAAGAAGCCCACCCAAAATTCGGGAAATAAAAGAAGCCCAGTACTTCAAATCAAAGTTTTACGGTATTTACACCCCACTTGCAAATGAACGATTCTACGGTGCATGTATGAAGCCACTCTGGTTTCTCACACGCAACGATTGAGAAAGCGGTCTTGTCTGTAACTCCTTGGTTATAATAAATTCATAAAATAAAGCAGATTTGTTTTTGATATGTTAACTCTTAATAGTAAACAAAATAGAGTGTAGGCCTATGACTCTCTATCAGAAGACCTAGAGTAGAATTTACACCACACTACATAGTTAGCAACCTGAGAAAGTTGAAATGCGTTGACTATGCAGTTGCAGGAGCATAGGGTGGTTCCCATCTGGGGTGGGGGGGTGAAAATTATAAATGTAGGATCGGTGGCGTAACAAAGGGGCCGAAGGACCGAGGCAGGCGCTGGGGACACAAAGGGCCCCCAGGCACTCTGGTGTTTGTAGCGTTTTGTGATGTATTTTAATGTCTATTTTGGCATCCCAATTGAGTTCTTAATTTGACAAAATAAGCGTATCTTAATTAAGATAATAATTTGTCTGTAACTGTAATTTCTTGTTACAAATTGTTTCACTTTTATTATATTACATAAAACAAATTATTGAATATTAAGTTTAAAACGTCAACAATAAAAAAAAAGAACAAAAAATGTTTGTATTCTTTTCTAATTATTACTGTTGCATGTGTTATTGGTATTATTGAAAATATTACACAGAATAATATAATATAATCAATTATTCTACAAACCAAACATGAAAATCTTAACTAAATACAGTACAACATTGCAACTAGTAATATTTGTTTGCCTTAATAATTTCAATTTCAAGCATTTTTTAAATGTTATTGTATTTTAAAAGCCTATTCAGTTAGAAAGATACAACCTATCTCAATCGATGTTATGCAGTCTTATGCAGTTTTAAGCTTTATGCAGCCTTTTCTCACAGGCATAAGCATGCGCAGTAAAGAACTTCGTAGATAATTATTGAACTGCCCATTCGGGTTGGGGAGGGTCAAAATAACCCCAAAAAGAAAAAAAGGGTTTTGATTCCTAGATGCCGGGAAACAAACTTTCCCGACTTCTGAGGTGTCTTTTAAAATTCAAGGTTTTCTGTTCTTGAAAATGGTCATGTAAATTTTCTCATTCTTATTACAGTAAATAGGCCTTTGTGTATGTATATAATCATAAAACATAATAAAGAGTAATAAAGTACAAGACAGAACTGAGCATCCAATTTTATATGCCGCCATCAAATCAGCTCAGCTTAGGCTTGCCTTTACAAGTTGAATCAAATATATCAGTTCCTGAGCACCTTATATTTATGTAACGTCAGTACCATCTAAATAAACCACTTCGGTTGATTCACTATACATTACACGACTATTGCCTATATCCTGGTCTTCAGTCAGTCGGGAACTGAAAAATGTAAAACACGACTGGGCTCAATATACCATGCAACTATATAATCAATAATATTTACACTAATAACTATTATTTCATTATCATTGTTAATTTGAGCTCAGGTTAGTACAATTTCAAGTTACTTAATCATTACTAACTTAAATTCCCAGTTTCTATTTATTTACTTTGTGAACATACGCCTTTAGATCGGCGGCACTCAAGGGTGGTGCGTTCCAACTTAAAATATAATTTTTGTTATTCAAAATGTTATTCAAAATAAGACCAAGCCTCCATTCCATTAGCTACAGTATTTCAGGCTCCTCAGGCCACATACCATTTACATGCATTATACATCCTCTCTCCATGAGACTGTCTCATTTGTTAAATTTGTCTGTAATGTAATTTGATTGTTTTTGACTTTGTCTTTTTAATGTTTCCAATTAAATTTTAATAATCAGTGGACCTTTCGGTCTTTTATTTACATTTACTTTTTAATTTTTTGGTTTTTTGGTTTCTTTTTTAACTTCCTATTGTTAGGACTGGTTTTTTTTTGTTTTTTTTTCCTCCATTTTATCTGTGTTGTATACTGGGCATTCTGGGAGAACAGTCCTTTAGCTGCTGTGTGAGAACATAAGCTTAGTGTCAAATTAAGTTACTTTTTTTAAGAGTGAGAGTACGCAATACTGTACTATTTTTGAGTTGCCACACCCTTACATTTTCTTTTAACTCAACTCCAAACCATTGGGATTGAGTTAGGTGTAGACCCTTTTGCAGTGGTAGCGCCAAATTTTGCCAGACGTGGGCTTAGATGTCCCTTGCCATGAGAATAGTGGGCATGGTTGGGCATCTCGCAGAATCTTTTTATAAGTGTAAGCCCCCGAAACATGTGACAATTTAGGGTTTAAAAGGCTTATTTAATCGATTTTAGATTATACTAGTATAACTTATGATAGTTTATTTTATTTGAATTGTATATATTCTGTCAATCTTATTTTAGCTTCATTGTTGTCGAGATTGTCTAATATTAAAGGTGAATAAACATTTCCTACATTATCAATTACACAAGGTATACTGAACTATATATTACATGTTGTAAATGACTTAATTTTGTGTCTGTGTGTATTTGATATGAAAATTCATGTATTTATGTTAAAGAGATGCAAAAAAAAAAAAAAAACAGTTGTAATATAGAATACCTTTTGAATTAATTCTGCACTAGAGAACATTTATATATGATGTATTTAATGACTACTGACAATTTTATACATTTTTTTATAATTGTTTTTATAATTATAATATAACATAGTTATATATTATAATTATATAATATAAGTATATATTACAATTACATATTATATAATTATATAATTACTTTATGCTTTAAACTGGTTCATTATGTATGTGGTTTGTACATTACAGTTTTTTTCACATATTGCGTACAACAGTAAACCGGTAGATAAGTCATCTCTACTTGTACTTGTATAAACATATAATTATATAGGTACACATGTAATCGAGCATGATATGAATTTTTGGGAAAGCTTGTTAATTGTTGTAAATTGTTCAATCATTTAACAAAAACAATCTGAATTTTAATGTTTTATCGTTATTCAAGTAAATCTTTCATACATTTTTTCTGTTGGCGTATAATTGCAATTATTATATATTTGTTTTGTAGAGAATAAATTCATTCAGATTTACACAAAAAAAACAATATTAATTTTAATGTTTTATCGTTATTCAAGTAAATCTTTCATACATTTTTCTGTTGGCGTATAATTGCAATTATTATGTATTTGTTTTGTAGAGAATAAATTCATTCAGATTTACACAAAAAAAAATTGAAATATATATTGTTTTCAATTTTGAATTATTTCAGTGTTATGCTTAGGTGTACAAGTCAATCGTGACGTCATCACTGCAACTCCCAATGTTATTTTCCTATCCCCACAATAATGTTTCAATTAGTGGACGCTTGGCTTGATTTTAAAGACTCAATCAATGAAATTAGGTGTAGGCCTACGGCCACCAGTTAGGCAGGGAGGCCACCAAGGCCTCTTTCCTAGCTCGTAGCCTAATGGTAGGCCATCACTGCCATAATAAACCGCTGTTGTCTGTTTTTTAACGCCGTTAAGTTGTTCAATTCCAACCAATCACAAGCTTTAAGCAGTGCCAAATGGGCCATAATAAAAGCGGCGTTAGTTTTTTTATGTTAATGCCGTTACGTTGTTCAGTATTATTATAGGTTGGCCAAAAAGGCCATAAAGAGCGGAGCGGCCCATTGCTTCTTCTTGTGCATCAGTTGGGGGTGGTGTGTGCGCCGCCAGCGATTTTTTTTTTCCGTACGAAACATTTACATGAAACTCCACTCGGGCCATCTCGGCTGAATCGACCCGAAAATCTCATTGCAGAATTCAGGAGGTCAAAGGTCATCAACAGATAAACGTATACAAAACAACTTCTGAGAGAACGTCGCTCGCTGTTATTTATTTTTAAAAATACATTGATGTTACTATGTTAATACCAATGGGTCGTTTAAATGACATATAATATTTGATTAGCTGCACGAGTAATGAAAAGTGTTATTTTAACTTGAGTTACATACTATGACAATTTTAATTTTTTAGTTAGGCCTTCGTTTTGCATAATTACCTAGGCCTACTAAGACCCTTTCTGGGAAAAGCACAAAGAGTAAGGAAAAGCGCGTTTTTCTTCATCAAATGAAACAAGGTGACAGTTATTTTCAAATTAAGAGAAGAGTTGAGAATAGGCAGCTCTAAAATACTGGATGCCATAAGACCTGCCAAAATGGCAGAGCACCAAATGAATGTAAAAATGAGCTAGTTATTACTAGGCATAGTAATCGGCAGGTTCTTGATTACAAGGCTAGACCAAGGTAATTACATATAATGCGTCAATGTCAGTATGTTGGTGTCAGCCTATGATCCTAGGCCTAGCCTAGTTTAAGGAGGGGCCTAGGTAAGATCTCAGCCTGTTAGGCCTCTTTCTCTCTAGCCTTTGGTATTACTGTACCTATCTACACTTTATAACAGGAGGTACTAGCTGTTGTTGTTGTAGATAATATACTAACGTTTAATAACATCCAAGAAGGTCACAGTTAGTTACACACGTACATCCCATAAGTCCGTGAGATTTCATAGGCTTACCATAGGTAAACATAGAAAGAGCAATACAGTAATAGTAAAACTCGAGCGTCACGACATTGCGAAGTGTCTGATCTTGTTCCTCGTATCGTACTCACTCGAGTCAATCCGAGATGGCCCGAGTGAAGTTTCATGCAAATGTTTCGTACGGGAAAAAAATCGCGTGCCGCCAAGATACTCGCGCAAATGAATCAAAGAAGGAATGTGATTGGCTGAATATCTGGCCCTTGCGCCAGATACTACAGTGAACGGCGTTTTCAGAGTACGGCGCTTTTATTATGGCCCCTTCAGCGCTGTTTCAAGCTTGTGATTGGTTGAAAGTGAACGTAACGGCGTTAAAGTAAAACTAAACGGCGCTTTTATCATGGCCCTTTTGGCGATGTTCAGGCTTGACGTGAATGGTTGAAATTGAAGAACGTAACAGCGTTAAAATAAAACTAAACAGCGCTTTTATCATGGCCTTTTTGGCGCTGTTCAAGCTTATGAATAGTTGAAATTGAAGAACGACGGCATAAAACTAACGCCGGTTTCATTATGGCCCTTTTGGTCAAACTTATAATTACGGCGTTTTCAGAGTACGGCACTTTTATTATGGCCCTTTCTGCGCTGTTTAAAGCTTGTGATTGATTGGAATTGAACAACATAACGGCGTTAGAAAAAAGACAACAACGTTTTCATTATGGTCCTGTTGGCTAACCATACAGGGGCACATCTAAATGTAAATACTGTATACTGATCGTATCACTATAGCAACCGATGACTGCTACAACATTTGGTTATCAAAACTAACAATGTAACATTAAAAGACGGCCATTGAATTATAAAGCAATTAGTAGAGTATGCATCGTACACTAGCGCAAAATTATTATACTTAAGTTAGATTTAATGCATTTAAACAATTTTTTCAAGCATTAATTCTAACCTTTGTATAATAATTTTCCTTTAGTGTACTATGCGGAGCTCTACTAATTGCTTATTATCGTAATAATAATAATCACCCTAATGAAATTAACAACAGAAGTAGCGCCAGCAGCAGCAACAACAACTTCAGAGGCCTTTTATAGCAATTTTAGAATTTCTTTTTTATTATACATTGTTTGGCCACTTTCACACCACATCGCCCATGTACACATGCTGTTTCATTGGCAACACGTAGAAGTAGTACACTTTAGCAGCTCACATTCTATCAATTTAAAGAAACAGCGAAAGCCTTGTATTAAATAATTTATTTAATACCTCCTTGCTTAAACCATGAAGGAATCAAATCAAAATTGTACGAATTTTCACTTAGTCTTTTTCTACTGATTCTTATATTATGGAAGGTTCATGAAAATACTGCTGGGAAATGGAAAATTATTGAATTTCTTCAAAATCAATGAGCTGTACCCTTTGGGTTTTTGACAAACTTCGGATATTTTTACCTATTTTTTGG